TTGTTAAGTATATTGTTTTTCTTTTCCTATGTGTGAAAAAGTGAAATTTTCTTATTGAGATCATTAGTGACACTTAAAAAGGGCTCTGAGTAACCTTGTCGGTATGGATTTGGAGTGTGAACATGTCTCTATCCTTGATAAAAAATTGAGTCCCTTTGGTCAAACTCTAACAGAGATATTCGATTATTTTCCTCGAATGCATGACTTTTGAGCCACCTTGTATATATAGCTAATATAATAAGACTTGAATAATAAAATATTCAACGAAACAAATTTCAAAATATTATATTTAACATAAAACTTCAATCAATATTTATCATAAAAAGGATTTCTTCATTATTTTTTATTTATCCATTTTTTACAAATAAATTTCTGTTAAATGATTGAAATTGAAAAGAGAGAAAGAGTATATCGTTTGTCTAGTTTTTAAATAGCTGATGTGTTATTAAAAACGATTAAGAGTCTGTTTGCTGGATGAATTCGATTCTCCGATAATGTTCATTTAATGATAATATAACTCGATTTGTTATTCAATGACGATTTTGACTATCTCGTTTAATTATTAAACATATATAAACAAGATTGTTTAGAATAAATATTAAGAAAAACTTAACAAAAAGACTTTCATTTAATAAAATTTTAAAAAACTAAGCTTTTTTTTCTTATTAAAAAAACAAACTAAAAACTCTATGATATTTTAATTGATATTAATTATCATGAATAAGGTGAATAAGAAATTTGATTAGAGAATATCTAAATATATTCAATGATTATAAATTTAATAGAAATATTTTATTATCCAAATTAAATAAAAACTTGATTTTATTGTTAAAGTTGAAACAAATAAATTTCTATTCCGAATCTGAATCATATTTTTAGAAAATAAGAAATTAATATTCAATTTAGGTTTTTTTTTTGTTTTTATTTAGAGAATTTTTTCTAATAGATCAGCTACATAAATAATTTTTCGAAATATAATTCAAAAGAAAAGATGAAAATACACATTTATATTTAATGTTTCGCATCGAGTTTGTTTTTTAATGAAAAAAAAGAAATAAGTTCAATGATAATCAATGTAAATATTTGACAAGTTTTATCTTGTTCGCGTTTGAATGTCAAATAATAATAATCGAACTGATAATATAATATTTGATTTTGTTTTGAAAATAATTAAAAGTCATGGAAGAATAAAATTTGTAAGTGATTGATTTCATGGTGGTAAAATAGATGAATGTTCATGTGTTTGTCGATTAAGAGCAGCTATTCGAGAAGAACAAAGACGTTTACGTATTCGATTTCGACAAATTTGTTTTAATTTAAGTGGTGTTAAAAGTATTGTTGTTATTCTATCAATTTCATCTGTTGCTTTATCAAAATGTCTTTCTAAATCTTCAGTAAATAATTCAACAAGTTCATGATTTGTTAATGTTAATTGTTCATTTTCATACACAACATGAATTAATTTTTATTCGTCTAAAATTAAAGGACAAAAGAGAAAAACGAATTTTACAATTTTTATTTGCTTACGATGATACTGATTAGAAGCATAAAGATTTGATTGAAAATAGTATAGTTAATAGTTTTTCATATTAGGATCAATCGTCAGTTGTTCATTTGATTTATAGTTTTGATAAATCCATCTGTTTAATATTGATTAAATATATAGTAATTCGCTCTAATTGGAGTGATTTATGTATTTTAAATAAAGATCTTATCTCTAAGAAGGTTCAGTTTGAATGATTATGAAAATAATTTTTTTCTACACAGAGTTTCATATGAAATGGTTATAGTACTGTAAATTAGGGGTGATAAGTTATTGCTATTAATAACAATAAATTCCCATCTGTCGTATAAATACATAAATTCTTATAGATTCATCTATGCTCTCTAAATCTTTAAGATAAGTCAAATATTAAAATCAGTTGAAATCATTGATTTTATTGTATCCAGTAAAGAAAATTGCTGTCTTATTCAATGTCTGTTTATGTTCTAAGCTATATTTAATCATATTCCTAATCTGTAAGTAAATGGCAATATATGAAAATAAAAAAACTAACAAGATACAAGAACAGTTTTTTTTCCTATTGTCTTTGTCAATCAGTTCTTCAAGCACGTCTTTTTTTACATGCATTTTTTGAGAGAATATCAACAATAAAAAGTCCAACAAGTAACAAAAGTAAAATAACACATAAAAAAGCTGTTTCTCGACCTAATATTTGCTTGAAAATAAATGCACCAACGACACAAACTATTAAACCTAAGAACAATCCATCCATCCATTGAAAGCCACGATCTCTCACTACAAGAAAAAAAAACAAATTTCATTCTGAAAAGACCTACAATGTAATAAAATGGCCTCATATTTACAATTTATAGGAATATAATGAGAAAACAGAAAGTTGGATAAGTTCGTAGGCAATGTGCTATGAAGAATATTAATTTTGATTTATGAAATTAAAATCGAAAGATTAAAATAACTTTTTTATTTTTTCCAGAGAGTAGCATAAGTATTTATTAGAATCAATAAATGAATGATAAATTTGACGAAAATAATCCAGCAAGTTGACATTGTTCTAATCCATTTTATGATGTTCCTGTTGAGTATTACCAAACCATTGAAAAACAGATTTGAGTTGGAATTTCCCTAGCAGATAGAAGAATATAGATTATAAACAGCCATATATATATCAATTGATTTTTGTTTACTGTGATTCGAATTGTTTATGGAATAAATATTTTTCGAAAATAAAAACTTATCTTCGATAGTCCGCATAGTAAATTTGATTAGCATAATTTTAGTTATTGCTAACTATTCAATTATGAACGATTTATAAACAAATAGATCGTTTGATCTGTCTGTTTGGCTTTGGCGATCTTACAATGTTAATTAGAAAGTTCTTTGAATCTTTACTCTGCAGAAATAAAAACCATTTGTGGAAAGATTTGCGTCTTATATCTTAAAAGATCTAAGAGAATGTATTACAGCAGTGGATTCGAAACTTTTATCGTAGAAATTTTTCTCATCATAAGATTTCTGAAATATTATTCGATTTAATTTAAAAATTTAACTTGAGTCAATGGGAAAATAAGTCCAATAATATCTACTATATCGTTCTCAATTAATCTTTCAAATGAAAATCGAGACTTTGTAGAAAGACTTCAGATATAAGATAATTATACTATACATTCTACTAATTAATCAGAATGTCCCCTGAATATTTTGTTTTTTAATTCTAAATCTTTAGTATGAGATGAATTAGAATTAGTGAATGAAACTCAATATCAAAAGAATTTGTTCATATTCAGACTTAGACAATGAGTCAACAGTTATTACTCTGTTAATTGTTCATAAAAAACTCGGAAAACAATAACGTCAAGAAATTTTATTTTTTGATAAAAATTCTCTTGATATTGTTCGATTTTCGAATACAGAAATATTTCAAGTCAGTTTATTGATTATATGTTTGGAATTGACTAATATAAATCAATCTAAATAGAAAGATTTTTCTTAACTAATCTTAGCCAGAGTGAAAAGAGTTAGAAGATATATGATACTTGTTATAAATTGAACTTTCTTTTATATTTTCATCGTTTAGGTTTTAAGAATGAATATTCTTTTGATAAACAATTTATAAGTTTATCGAGCAAAAGTTTTATTATCATTCTAGCTAACAGCAAAGTTTCTTAAGGTGCATTTTAAGGTCGAAAAGAAGTCCATTGCTTTTGAATCATTCGTTCCATTGTAGTGTTTTCTCTGGTCAATTACGTAACGAACAATTTTACAATAATTATTTAACAAGAAAAAACTAATGAAAGACGACATATATCCTAACTTATTGGAGAGAATCTGAAAGGACATTAGAATAATCGAAAGAATTCTCTATAAGTATTGATGGGTCCGAAAAACCCAAAGGCATTGTTTGGGCGAGCGTGTTAGGAATGACAAGACCTCTGAAATCAGTTTTTTGGCTTTCATTCACAGATTTTACTAAAAGATTTTACTTGATATAGTCTTGTGGTTTCTTTTTTTTTTAAACAAAACAGAATTTGAGCTGAGCTGAGTGTCCAATAACGATTGAAGAAATATGTTGTGACAAATTCAAACTTCCTGAGATTCATTGTTTAAGGAAAAACAGTACACATGGATGCTAAATTGAGAACGGACTATAACTATAGCATATCACTTTTCCTTTTGGCGATATCGAAATTATTGAGCCCCATCCGTACCCTCCTTATAAGCTTTTCGGACAACCAGGAAAAAAATACATCGACAATATTTTTATTTTTGCGCTCTCTAGATACTAAGACACTCTCACTTTCACTCTCAAGAATTCTTCAAAGTTCCACTATATGCTTTAGATTTGAATATTTTAAAACTGCTGAAAATTACTTTTTAATTTCGAAGCATCTGCTACAATTTAATAATATCAACGTATCAGAAGTGAGACTACAATATTCTATCATTTGAAATTCTATGCGTGATTTCTTTTCATGAGTCGCCGCTAAAAAAATGCTCTCAAACAGAATGTAAGCTGCCTTTTTTTTGAAAATCCTCTTCAATAGCATTACCAAATAGCTCGTTTCTTTTCATCTATTGAATTCATACAAAAAATTACCGCACATAAAGCAAACCATCCAATCACTGATGAACTTGACCTACTCACTAATTAGTCTTGTTTTCTCATTCATTGAAATGAAACAAAGCTCAGCTCTCTAGAGCATACTTTGTCTTTTCCAAGTGTTCACCAATGACTCTTTTTGTTAAGATTTGAAATCTAGAGAATCTTCAAGCATACTGTATGTAGTAGAAGAGAAATCTGTAGTAGTGTATGTATCAAGTTTCCGTAGTAGAGTAGCAATAGTAGCAGTCATTCGATGAAAATATCATCAATGATTATATAACTTTATCGAAGAAACAATATTGCATGTTTTCATGGACAACACAAAATATCGATTTCATTTTTTTTCTAATTAATAGTAGTTCATAAGAAAAAGAAAATATGCTAAGAAGAAATGATTTTTTTCCGAATTCAAGAGGTAAGAGAATAGGTTTTCTTTTGATACATATACCCTGGCTATCTTGCTCTCTGTCTTCCCTCATTGATCATTTCTCTTCGTTCAGCAAAAAATTTCATTGGAGATAAATTTGTAAAGAATCCATAACTCTGTTGGATGGATAGTCCACAGGAACAAGAAACAGAAATAATATTGCGCAAAATGTGTCTCTCAAAAAGAAAATTAATAGATGAAAACAAAGATGTGTGTGGTGACAATGAGATGAATGAACGAACGGACGAACAACAAAATAAAATAATACAATATTTCTAAATTCTTATAGTCATCATCGTTCATCCTCACACTTTCAAATTCCAAGAATTCCAGTTAGTAGTCCATGTATTCCAATTTCGTAGAATTCAGTTACATGTCTCATTTCTATTCACCCACTCTTCCTGATAAACTCATCCTTTTCCTAAAACGTTGTTCTGTCGCTGATTGTATCACATATTTTTCTCTATTTTAAAGTACCATTACGATCATCTGCTATTGACATTCATCCGAATGCAAAATGGATACAGAATGGTCTTACTGTGGCTGGAGGAAATGGAGAAGGCAATAGAATCAATCAATTCTCTTACCCATGGGGTTTGTATGTCGATGATGATCAAACTATTTATGTCGCTGATCATTGGAATCACCGTATTATGGAATGGAAATATGGTGCGACAAGTGACCAAGTTATTGCTGGTGGAAATGGACAAGGAAATGGAGCTAATCAGTTAAACTTTCCATTTGATGTAATTGTCGACAACGAGAGAGATAGTCTCATTATCAGTGATACAAATAATAACAGAGTAGTTCGATGGCCTCGTCGAAATGGTACTCGTGGAGAAACAATTATCTCGAACATCTCTTGCATGGGTTTGACAATGGACGAGAATGGATCTCTCTATGTTGTTAACTGGAAAAAACATGAAGTGAGACGATATAGAATTGGTGATACTGAAGGAACAGTAGTTGCAGGTGAAAATGGAGAAGGAAATCGTCTCGATCAACTTTCTGGCCCCCACAATGTATTTGTCGATCGAAATCATTCACTGTACGTGTCTGACTATGATAATCATTGTGTAATGAAATGGGAAGAACGTGCAAAACAAGGCATTGTCGTAGCCGGTGATCAAGAATATGGCTATAGTCTTACACAATTGAATAATCCTGTAGGAGCTGTTGTCGATCAATTGGGTACTGTCTATGTGGCTGATTCTTGGAATGATCGAATTATGCGTTGGCCAAAAGGCGCCACACAGGGAAGTGTGATTGCTGGAGGAAACGGTCGAGGGCGAGAGTCGAATCAATTAACTCTTCCCTCTGGTTTATCATTCGATCGACATGACAATCTATATGTCATCGATCGCGACAATACTCGAGTACAAAAATTTTCAATCGAACAGACAACAAATTAATCATGTTTATTTCGTTGTGTGGTTGAAAATGATTTGCATTCAATAAAGAAAAAGGATAATCGCATGCGTGACCAAAAAACCGTCCCTGTTGGTGGAAGTGGCGACCGCTTAGCCATGCACGAAAAGGGCCAAGTTCACGAGTACACGCACGCATGAACGAATGTCGATCGTGTGGACTCGATGGATCCGTGTCGTGTTGCCACTGTTATCAGTTAGATTTGCTAGTTGAGAGTACACAAAGTTTTCCCAATGGAGCCACATTGGACGACGACTATACCTCAGAATAAGTAGAAAGCTCAGAGAGAGAATGCTCTTCGCTCTATTCGAATAATCGTATGAGAATGATTCATGATCAGTGAAGCATTACTAAACGATCATTTGAATGAAGTAAAGAACATGGAACCGAAGATAGAAAAGGAGACCACTCATTTGGTAATTACTTGCTTGCTATTCGGAAGCATCATCAACGAAAGAATGATAGCTCTCACCTCTGTCCACCTCTATTTATACTAGTACACAACGCCATTGCATCATCCTGTTGCATTATCTTCCTTCTTCTCTTTATTCTCGATCCTCAAGGAAAGCCTCAAAAATGTTCAATGCTCGTCTGTTTCTTTGCGTCTGATTCGAGCACAAAATCGAAAAAACTAAGTGTCGTTTATTTTGATCAGAGAGGTAGAAAAAATACGAATGGAAATGGAAGGTACTAATTAATTTTATATATAATTTAGAATTTATCAATAAATATTCAATGCGAAGGAAAGCCCAGAAAAACTTCAGCTACTAAACCCCTAATCAGCTTCGTTGAAAAAAATCTTTAGCTTTATTTTATAATATCGAAAAAGAGAAGTTGGTGATGTATTTGTATATATAGTATATCATCTACTTATATTTCGTTCTTTTTCTTCTGAGAACAAATCCTTCAACGTATTGATCGAAGCGGCGAGAACCTCGCAGAACAAGCTAGTCAACGATTTTTTATTTAGTATTTAGTCTTTTTAATGCTTCTCTCTTATACATATACATTATGGCATCAATTACGATTATTGAAATCATTTGGTAAGTTTTAGCCTTTCCTAGTACAATTACCAGAGAATTAAATCGAGAGATATGCATATCTGTACTCCAGTAGAAATATTGATATAGGCAAGACAGAGAATAACAGAACAAGAGGAATCTATCCAATTTTAACTTGTAACTAAAGACAATTATTTATTTTAGCAATTAGTGGTAAAGTTCGAAAGTATCCTTGCTACAAATGTGATGGCGGTGTTCGTCGTCGCTGTCAAGGAATGCGTTTCTTCAATCGGTATTCATTTCAGACTTGTCTTATTATACTTTTGTTATTTTTAATTCTTGTCTATTACTATAATTATTCCTGTTTAGCAGTAGTACATCCAAAACTATCACCACAATCTACTGTTCGTATTATGTATGTTGTTCGAACAGTTTCAAAGTACTATTCAACTCGTCTTATCTATCTCCTTCAAACATGGATTCCACTCGTTCAAGAACATGTCTTTTTTGTTAGTGACATTCTTCTACCAAATATCACTCAAACTCATATTATCCCTACAGAAAAAACATGTGGCCTAAGTTCACATTCAGTGAGATCTTTATGTTGTCAAACGATTCATGACTTTATTCTCTATCGTCGTCATGCATCGAATTATGATTGGTTGTGCCATATTGATGATGATCAATATGTTCATGTAGATAATCTTCGCAAATATTTGTCTACACTTGATTTTCATCGTCCGTACTATATTGGACGTAATTCATGGAGTACTACATTTAAACGAACAAAAAATCCTTATCCATATCATTTTTGGTTTGCGACACTCGGTGCTGGAGTATGTCTATCGAAAGGTATTCTTCATTTGCTTGATTTTCATACACAAACGGCTTCACAATTTATTAATGGATGTATTCGTGAATATTATCCCGATGATATTTATCTTGGCTTTCTTATTAGTAATCATCTCAATGTGTCATTGACAAAAAATCTTCGCTTTCATTCTCATCTCGAACGTTCGTTATTTGATGATAAACACTCATTTATAAAAACATTCCATCAACAAATTACATTTGGATTTGGACTACCTCATGTAGTCCCACGATTTCTTCCATATTTGTTCCCTAAAAATATTGATCCATTTCGTATGCGTACACTTCATTGTCTCCTTTATACTCAGCTAGAAGATTGTCAAATAAGAATACAAAAGTATCTTTTAAATATGGCTGAATGAAATGTTCTTCTATTTTTTTAATGACTTTCTTGTCTATATGGTTTTTCTAACAGTCGTCATTGTAGTAACAATATGATAAACAAGTGAAAGTTTGAAAAACAATCGAGATACTTTTGTCTCAATATTGAAATACCATTGGTGATTGGTGGTGTTATTGATTGTTTAACCGAATCTCTCTGCACTATTTCTTTGGAATAGATTATTTTTCGTTAAAATACAAACCTATTCAATTGATGTGTTGAGTGTAAATGTAAGCAAAATAAAGATCAATGCCCTAGTTTGATCATTGTTGTTATCATTCATAGTTACAGGAACATCACAACTATGAATTCTTCGAAAAGTAACTTTTACTCTTGACATCAAAGTCTTAACGAATTTTATCTTATATTTCAAAATCATTGTATTGGAAACTGTCTAGTTTTCAATAGAATCCAAATTTCTATAGATATTTTTATTATTAAAATACTATAATACATTTCGTTTTTACTGATCTAAAGAGAAATAGCGATGTGAAAAGCCGATTGGAGTCTAGTAAACAATCCATAACGATCTTTTCCAATTTTACTCAGAAATCTATAATTAAGAGCGATAGCCAAGATGAGATGCACTAGTATCGTAATATAGATTTTGATAATGCTAGAGGCCTCTTCATATGACTTGAATTTTTACATATGAGCATTATAATATTATACTCATGCACCTCTACTAGTAAGAAATTGAAACTTAAAGATGATGACAATTCTATAATTGATCTCTTTTTTAGCAGTGGAAGAAACTGCACTGTTGAAAAGATAATCTCGAGTTCTAATTAAAAATGTAAAATTCATATGGTTTTGGAATCGAGCCAATTGGGTTAGCAAGTTTCCTTCTTTCTTTCAAACAATTCATTCTTATACTAAAAAACGTCCGAGCATACGTACGCTATAATCCATGAATTTGCCACAGTTTCTAATATTCACATTCAATCGTTTCTATACAAGGCTAGGTTTTAGAATACCTCAAAGATGCTTATGCAGCTCATCATGACTATAAAAAAAAATACCAATAAAGATTCGATGATAAAGCATGAAGGAAGATAAAGTCACATGAGTAAGCCCATTTAGTGGTACAGAATCAAAGAAGCGAATAAAAACTGATGGGTGAAGAGAATGATTGAGACGAAATGGAATAGAACAATAATCAATAAAATGAACAACACGATTGTACTCTATAAGAAAACCTACCTATTTGAAATAAAAGTAATTTTCTCTTTGACTAAATACATTCGTGTAACATTATCACATATATCCTCACAATTAATCACAATTAATATAGTCCTTCGTATACTCATTTGTTAACGCATGTACTTTGCATCTTCTTTTTCTGTGTGTTTCTTTGTCGTCTTTTCCTCCTAGTTTCACATCTTTCTTCATCTCTTGCTATTTGACAATCTCTCTGTTCATGCTCTCCAAGCAGTTTATAGGACTTGAAGACCTTGTATATGTCTTTATTAGTTTTGTCATTCGATCTTACTAATCGTTCTTCGCTTCTCATCCGATATTTCTTTGCGATCTGCATTGTTTTATTTCGTTCTCCGTGTATGCGGAGCATATTTGAAACTGCAAAAGGTTTCGGATCCAATTACAAGTCAAATCAGTTGCAGATAAGTTTTCACTATTGATTTTTATGTATATGAGTCGTGATGCTGTTTACTAGGGAAAGAGCGAGTGTGAGGGTGGGTATGGGTAGATGTGTATAGAATACTGACCGTTCCACGACAAACGGCGTTTGTGTCTGTTTTTGTCCGAAACATCATCAGATGGATTCTCAATTTTTTTCAAGAGCATACCACGGCCGATTTCGTCCTATCTCAAAGGACTCTTCGGGTGGTTTAAGAGAGTGTGATTGTGCGTCAATCAATTAAGAGATAAATCAACTTATCTCTTAACGAAAAGACAAGTTCAATGTGCTAGTCTCAACTCTTGTTTTTCAGCAATCCGTTTCCTGCCGAAAATTAAATAGCAAGAGAATAATAATAAATAAATGTGCTTGCATTAAAATGATTTAAAACAAGCAGAGTTAATTTCGGCAACGGGTTTCGTGTTATTTATTAGAATATTGAAAGAATGTGGGTGAGGGTGTGAGTATGAGAAGGGTTCTATGGAATTTCGAGAATAATAATTTCGTCATCTGAATTTCGGCAATGTCGAATTCACGGTAGAATTTCAAAATTTTTCGAATTTCTACTGGCATTTTGACACTATTGTCGAAAATCTTATGGAATTACGACAATAATAATTTTCTATGTATATTTTATTGTCTGTTTTCCGTCGGAATTTCTGCAATATTCACACGGGATGAAATCATACTCAATGAGTTAGATTTCGATGAATACGATATTAAATTCTTGAACTACTTTACAAAATTATGTCCTTTATAAACGTGCATTTTTCCTTTCTTTACTTTTCTTCTTTGTTTTTCTTGCGTGACCTACATTGCATTATCGTCCAATATCTTCTATTTTCTTTCTTAACACACGCAGAAAATCATCACCGTTCTTTTCGTCATTTGTTGTTTGTTTCCTTTATTTTGCCTCGATCTAGTCAGAATGTATATCTATTCTTTTCATCATTTGCTATATGTTTCTTTTATTTTACCTCGATCTAATCAGAAAATATATCTGTTGTGTTTAGTATGTTCGTTCTCGAGGTATAGAGAGAAAGAAAATACCGACCATTCGTTCGCTAGTCTGCGCGTATCTATATAAGTTCTTGTATCGTCCATCTTTTTTTTTATATCCACTTTTTGAAGAAACATTCTTTTCTAGATTCTTCACTTTACAATCCATTTGAACTTATTTAATTCATTATTAATCATAAAATGGTAGTGATTACTCGTGCTGCGGCTGCATATCAACAGCAACCATTTAATACAGATACTACAATTGTACCTGATGCTACAAGCAAAAAGGGCAGTAAAAAGAAGAAAGAAATAATTGGTCAATCTACATCATTATCTATTACTTTGTCGTCATCGGAATCACATACAATAACATCAACAACAGCACCAATGTCCTTATTAACAGTTGAATCATCTCATCATCAAAATAATAATGATGTTATTGGTACTAATGATTCTGATCAATGTATTGATTTACCATCAATTAAATATAATTAAATCGATAATAATCAAGAAGATAAATCATATAATCTGAATGATGATAAGGAATTAGATACAATAATATCATGCCAATTATCGTTGGTGACATTGAATGGTGTAAAACAAATCGTGGTAACGACCGAATATGTATGTGTGGACATACTTATGATTTTATGTCTCAATCATTAAAAAACATATTCGTTATTTTCGTTGTTCGAAAGAAGATCGTGGTTGTCGTGCTGTCGTTTATGTATCTATCGATTCGAACATTTATAAAGATTCAAATAATGTTGAACATAATCATCTACCAAATCATCATAATGTTAAACGTTTATTAGTATTACAAAAGGTCAAAGAAAGGGTTATGACGGAACCAACTTCTGTTACACGTATTATAGAAGATGAATATGTAAAAAATAATTTGAATGATGGTGATCGACAATATTTTTTGTTACCAACAGCACAAGATAAGCAATGTAGATACACTTAACTTGCATGTTGAATGTCATGTCTGCAGGAAGTTAAATATAAATCTGTTCTTTTATATTTTTAGCTTCAAAATTTTATAAAATTCGTGCAAAAACATTACCACCTGATCCAAAATCATTGGATTTTGATGTTCCAGAATCATATTCAAAAACGTATAGTGGAGAACAATTTTTAATCTATGATTCAACACAAGAAAAATTAGGTGGATGATGAATGATTTTTACCACCGAAGTATTGATTAAAATGTTATGTAGTTGTGAAGTTATATTAATGGATGGTACGTTTAAAACATGTTCTATTATATTTTCTCAGGTATATGTTATAATGGGCCAGCATCTCGATGAAGGTATGTATACAGTTTTTGTTCAGATCAGCTTCATTTTTATTTGTACTAAAATGAGTTTTTTTATTTAGCAATTCAATTGGTATGGTGCCTTACGCCAAAAAGAACCCAAGAAGTTTATGAAAAAAAATTTTCAAAGTTTTAAAAAAAAATCAACTGATTTTGGTCTTAAATTTGAACCACAATATGCTTATTTGGATTTTGAAGTTGGAACAATTAATGCGTTGGAAAAAATAGTAAGTTATTTGTTTAAAGACGAAAAAATTATGCTCATCCGCGTAATTGATCTATAAATGAAGCCATTAAAATGTTTTTTGTTTTAGTTTCCTGATATTTCTATCCATGGATGTTAGTATCATTTCACCCAATCTATTTTTCGAAATATTCAAAAGACTGGATTAACAAGTATGTATGAAAATAATGAAAAAGTTAAAATTTGGTTGAAGAGTTTGATGGCATTACCATTAATAATGAACAATGCGGTTGATTCTTCTATTGAATTATTGATTGAAAATGTACCATCATCTGATAAATTACTAATTGAATTTCTTGAATATTTCAAAAATCAATGGGTAACACGTATACCAATAAAATATTGGAATTTAGGACTAATACATCTTCGATGTAATAATAGTGTAGAAGGTACAGTATGTTTTGAGGGTACAATTATAGTTGAAATGTTATGTATTATTTTTATTGTCATTTTAGGTTATAATAATCGTCTTCAATATCGCTTTGGCGTGCATCCATAGTTATGGTCGTTTATTCATTTCTTGGAAGGTGAAGAATCATTGGTAATGACGCGAGCATCACAAATACGAAGTGGCAATTATCGTCATAAAGCAATGCCATTCTCCAATGGTAATGAAGTTTTAAGAAAAAAAACAAAACAACTCAAAAATCTGTCTCGTTTATTTCAACTTGGTGCAATAGGTTTAAAACAATATATAACAAATCTATCATCTTTCGTTGGTGAACCAGCAACAAAACAAAAAAAGAAAAATAATCATATTAATAATACTACAACTGTTAATAATGCCATCGACAATAATGACATCAAGGGGGAAACAGCGGACTTCAAGACTTCAAAAGACTTCAACAGACTTCAACCATAGTGACTTCATATTTTCACAAGACTTCTAAAGACTTCATAAGACTTCTAAAGACTTCTAAAGACTTCATAAGACTTCTAAAGACTTCTAAAGACTTCATAAGACTTCTAAAGACTTTTAAAGACTTCATAGGACTGCAAGGGACTTCACAAGACTTCATAGATTTCCATGGGACTTCATAGGACTTCAAAAGACTTCGTGAGACTTCACGGACTTCATGGGACTTCACGGATTTTGTGAGACTTCATAGACTTTGTAGGACTTCTTGAGACTTTATAAGACTTCATCAGACTTTATAAGACTTCGTAAGACTTCATAAAACTTCATAAAACTTCACAAGACTTCGCAAAACTTCATAAGAGTTCACAAGACTTCATAAAACTTCACAAGACTTCAAGAGGCAGATACCATGCGTATCAAAAAACCAAGGGGGAAACAGCGGACTTCAAGACTTCAAGACTTCAAAAGACTTCAACAGACTTCAACCGCAGTGACTTCATATTTTCACAAGACTTCAAAAGAGTTCTAAAGAGTTCTGAAGACTTCATAGGACTCCAAATGACTTCACAAGACTTTATAAGACTTCGTATGACTTCATAAGACTTCATGAGACTTCATGGGACTTCAAAAGACTTCGTTAGACTTCACAGACTTCGTGAGACTTCACGGACTTCATGAGACTTCACGGATTTCATGAGACTTCAGAGACTTTGTAGGACTTCTTGAGACTTTATAAGACTTCATAAGACTTCACAAGACTTCATAAAACTTCAAGAGACTTCATGAGATTTCAAGAGACTTCATGAGACTTCAAGAGACTTCAAGAGACTTCAAGAGACTTCATGAGACTTCATGAGACTTCATTAGAATTCAATAGACTTCAAGAGACTTCATGAGGCTTTATGAGACTTCATTAGACTTCATGAGACTTCATGAGACTTCACAAGACTTCACAGGACTTCAAGAGGCAGATTCCATGCGTATCAAAAAACCTTATAGAAATTACATGAAATTTCTATAACATGCAAAAAACAAAACTTATCATATAGAGATTACAAAAGTGTTTCTTGTTTCTGAGAATTGTTTCTCGCAGTATATCCATATCTAGAATAAAGATGTGACAATGACACAAAGCGTTGATGAAATTAAAACAGAGAAAATAAACTTTACTGGTATGCGTATGTTTGATTCGATTAATCCAGCATTGGAAAACTCCTATTTTCAGGTGCAAATAAATAACAAGACTAAATTTATACACAAGCAAACGACTTGTTGGTTATTGACCGACGAAGCTAGCCATTTATCGGCTGATAGATTATCACGAGTGATAGAAATAAACAAAAAGGAATAAAATTCTTCATAAGATTGACATCGAATAAATGAAACATTTCTTATAAAAATAAACCACTTCATTCACAAAGCATTCCGTTCTTAACTATCATGTTTTCTAAGATCCAACAAACTTGAATTTTTTTCCAGTACCTTGACAAACAAACAATAAAAAGTTCACCTTTCTGCTAAAATAAGACCGTCGAAAACAAGACAATTTCATTGCTTTTTTATGAATTTTCATGCACTAAATGTATTTCAAAACTTCCATGAGACTTCATTAGACTTCAAAAGACTTCAAGAGACTTCAAGAGACTTCAAGAGACTTCATGAGACTTCATAAGACTTCATGATACTGCATTAGAATTCAAGAGACTTCATGAGACTTCATTAGACTTCGTGAGACTTCATTAGACTTCATGAGACTTTATAAGACTTCAGAAGACTTTATGAGACTTCAGAAGACTTTATGAGACTTCAGAGACTTCAAAAGACTTTATGAGAATTCATGAGAATTCATAAGACTTCAAAGAGACTTCAGAAGACTTCGAAAGACTTTCAAGATTTCATGGGACTTCACGACTGAAGTCTCTGCTGTTTCCCCCTTGCAAAAAACCTTATAGGAATTACATGAAACTTCTATAACATGCAAAAAACAAAACTTATCATATAGAGATTACAAAAGTGTTTCTTGTTTCTGAGAGTTGTCTCTCGCAGTATATCCATATCTAGAATAAAGATATGGCAATGACACAAAGCGTTGATAAAATTAAAACAGAGAAGATAAACTTTACTGGTACGCGCTTATTTGATTCGATTAATCCAGCATTGAAAAACTCCTATTTTCAGGTGCAAATATATGACAAGACTAAATTTATACACAAGCAAATGGCTTGTTGGTTATTGACCGATAAAGCTAGCCGTTTATCGGCTGATAGATTATCACGAGTAATAGAAACAAACAAAAAGGAATAAAATTCTTCATAAGACTGACATGGAATAGATGGGCATATTTCTTATAAAAATAAATCACTTCATTCAAAAAGCATTCAGTTATTAACTATTATGTTTTCTAAGATCCGACAAACTTGAATTTTTTTCCAGCACATTGAAAAGAAAACAATAAAAGGTTCACCTTTCTGCTAAGATATGACCGTCGAAAACAAGACAATTTCATTGGTTTCTTATTAGTTTTCATGCACTAAATGTATTTCAAAATTTCCAGAAGAATTCGTGAGACTTCATTAGACTTCAAGAGACTTCATGAGACTTCAAGAGACTTCATGAGACTTCATGAGACTTCATGAGACTTCATTAGACTTCAAGAGACTTCATGAGACTTCATGAGACTTCATGAGACTTCATGAGACTTCAAAAGACTTTATTAGACTTCATGAGACTTCATAAGACTTTATGAGACTTCAGAGATTTCAAGAGGCTTTATGAAAATTCATGAGACTTCATAAGACTTCAAGAGACTTCAGAACACTCCGAAAGACTTTCAAAACTTCATGAGACTTCATGGCTGAAGTCTCTGCTGTTTCCCCCTTGAATGACATTTAGTTAAAATTATTTTACTCATTAGGATTGTTTTTGGATTAGCTCGTTCATATTGTTTTTATTTCAAAAATGTAGATTATGTTAAAAAAAAGAATTCATATTTTTTGATGTAGAAGTTTTTCCTGAATTTTTTGTTTTCTTCAATCATCTGCTAATGCTTTTGTTTTTCCACACAAGTTTTCTCTATTTGTTTTCTTGTCTTTACTTGTTGCTGATGTTAATTAAAGAAAGTAAACTTACAATCATTTATTATATAACATCTAGTTCTTGTTAATAATTATTTTCTTCATGTTAACTTTAAAACTAAGAAAACTGCATTTTTGCTCTACATTGCAGCTCCAGCTAGCATCTATATATCTTATTGTATTTCCGACAGAAAATGGACAATAAAATATACATAGAAAATTATCATTGTCGTAATTCCGTAAGATTTTCGACAATATTGTCAAAATGCCAGTAGAAATTCGAAAAATTTTGAAATTCTACCGTAAATTCGACATTGTCGAAGTTCAGATGGCGAAATTCCGTCTTCCCATGAGAAGTGGTCGCACGATCAACCACACCCACATCCTCAATATAAGTATTTATTTCATTTGAAAAGTTTACTTTCACAGAGAAAAAAAGTTTTATACAAATAATAAAGTTAAAAGCACGGAAGGATTTTCAATCAACGAATTAACTCAGACTGGTACAAGGTTCATAACTATTTTTTGTTTCCTACAAGATATGACAAGCCGGAAAGAAGATTTGTGGAATTTATCAGACCATCATTGTATCATTGACAAAGGATGTCAATATGTTTTCGTGTTGCTGTCGTGCGTGTATTTTGTTTTTTTCGATGCATCGGCAGACCACTGAATAACAATTCTATGAAGTTGTTTTTCTTCAGTTTGGATGAATTTGACGAAACGCCATATGTGAGGATGATTACGTGCAATGTGATGGTTCATTCGATTGTGGTAGCCTTTAATGGCAGAATATAGTGATTGTTTTCAAACAAAACTTGTCTCACTCTTACCCTGACAGATATTGTTTATTCTGGAGTTAGCTGTCGAAACGTTCCAAAGATCGATATCGACCAACCACTTCTTTTCGAAATAAATTAACAGTCGTTCCATTGATGAACCAGCTAATTGTTGAACATTAGTTCGAATCTCATCATAACCAGCAAGAACTGTATTAGATGACATCATTGCCAGAGCCATCATTTTTCTGCAAAAGTCACGTACAAGCTCATTTTGTATATATTCTTATTGAAGGCCTAGTTTCTGAATTTATCTAAATATACACTACAAGTAGTGGAAATAACATCCATAGTGTCTTGACGAAGAAAACTAAAAAGTAAGCAATAGTTAGGAAAAAAACGTATTTTTGTTATGTCAAACACAAGATACTTACCTTCGACTTCACAACTGATAGAACACGAGATTCAAAGTCTGTTACAATAAAGTTTGGTGAAAGGCTTTTGTGACGTTCTGTTGCTGCTTGCTTTAGTTCAAAGAAGATTTGTTGATATGTAACAGAGTTTTTATTAATCATCAATGCGAATACACATGGTACACCTAGAGATAAAACTAGAAATGTCTGCAGAAAATAGTTTTTATTTTTCTTACATATATCAAAATAAATTGTATGAATAATAAAAATTTGCGTGAAATGAAGTGGTGTTTTTGAGAAAGTTGCATCCATGTATGTCGTATGTGAATCAAATAGTATGTCCAGCTGCAGATCCTTTGCATACATTAAAAGACGTTCACGTCGTATAAATGATTCATTTGATAGCAGGAATCTCTTTCTATCGATTGTTAATTTATATAAATCAGGAATATTGAACAAACATGAATTAGGTAAAGATGGCATACGTTTTCGACGAATTGATGCAAACATTTGATCTATGATAAAAATAAAAAAATCTTGTGTTATTAAATTTTTTATCATCACTCACAAATTTCCTGATTTATCGGAAACGTAGCTAAGACAGTAGCATCGATTGACACTTTAGATGTTTCTTCATAGATCATAGCAATAGATGTTAATTCATTCAAAACACGTTGTTTCATTTGTTGACGAAGATATGTTGTCTGGATTAAATCTGAATTTAGTTGATGATCGTGATCGCTTCTACCACCAAATAAGTATACATCATTTTCATCGGTGTGAACGAATATCTTGCAGCCACAAACAACACATGTCTAATACTTCTTTCGTGCAGTCTTCTTATTACATCTTATATATATATATACATTTTCGTTCATGATCAATAATTGTTGTCCTTTGTTCGATGTTATGAATGATATATTGTCATTTATGCTGGTAGATGTGTCTATTATGTCCGACATAATATCTGTTTTTAAAAGTCTGAAAGCTGAATAATCTATTATATCTGTTAGTACGACATATGTGATTTGTTCATTTTTGTTTAACAGCAAAGACTCGCGTTTTGGCTAAGAGTAGGGGTGGACCATTTTATTTAATGGGACTTAATTAATGTCATTAATTAATGGCTTCACTTAACCATTAATATTAATGGTTAATGTTTTCCTTTAAAAACTTAATTCATTAATATTAATGTTAATGTTTTCATTAATATTAAGTCATTAATATTAATGTCAATGTTTTCATTAATATTAAGTCATTAATATTAATGTTAATGCTCTAATTAAACACTAACATTAATATCAATGAATTAAATTTTTCTAAGAAAACATTAACTATTAACGTTAAAACATTAAAAGTTAATGTTTTTTTTTGAAAAACTTAATTCATTGATATTAATGTTAGTGTTTAATTAGAGCATTAACATTAATATTAATGAATTAATCTTATTGATTAATGTTTAATGAGAACATTAATCATTAATATTAATGACTTAATATTAATGAAAAAAACATTAACATTAATATTAATGTAAATGGTCCACCCCTATTAGGTTGATAGTGCCATCGTCACTTCAGTTATACAGCGTTCTCGTTTTCATGTTATACTTCAGTAATTTCAAACATTACAACTAGCATGATAATACGTATGTTGAAAATTTTTCTGTTGATATTTATACGATTCGGTGTTTTTACATTTCGATATTCTTTTTTTTTCGATAGTTATATCTTCTACATTTTTACTTCGATATTTTTTCTTTCGATATTTTTTCTTTCGATATTATTCATTTTCGACATTTTTACTTTCGACGATATTAGAGGGAGAATCGGCATCTTTTTCTCTTCGTATATCTATTAATCGCCACGTGTGATCAGTGTTGTGAAGAGAAAAGAAGAAAGATGTTTCAGCCAACCTTCGTACACTAACGAGACACGTATAATTAGTCACATACGACAGCCTGTAGAGAGATAATTTTCCTTTCGTCTCGCATGCAATAATTGTTTGTTGACAATTTCTAGTTATTGAAAAGAGAATGAATTATATATGTGCCTACTCTTTCAACAAAACGAATAAACGCTCCATAGTTATACACATAACCAATCGGTCTAAATATCTCATTAATAGAACAAAAATTCTTATTAAAAAATGAGCAAATATAATAGCATTAGGATTCCCTTGTTTCTGGAGCGTGAAAAAGTATGCAATCGAGTCGTCATAATCCAGATTTCAATCTCGATGAAGATCTTACTAAACGAATTGATCATGAGTATGTTCTTTATGATAACAAAAAAGGCAGCAAATCATTATAGTCTGATGAAAGACGAAACATGTTTTCGAGTCATTTTGGACTAATTTAGAAAGTAACGACAGTTAACATGAAACTTTAAGCAATTAAAGATCACAGAGTTAGTTGTCACTCCTATAAATTTTACTTTGATCGGCCAAGCTATTATCTTATCTTAACACAGAGCTCCAAAAAGATTTGGTTAATTATATCAAAACATAAATTTAATCGTTCTCTGTATATTTTTGCACGTGTTTAATGTGAAAAGTGACCAGGTGAAAACATCCAAACATCAACAACCTTGATGACAAAGCATATTTTCTTGCAATTATATATACGTATAATTAGTGGTGGCTCTACTCTCCGAACTTTGAGGGGAGGTGTAAAAATTTTTTGTCAGGAGTATTGTGTACTGGAAAAAATAAGGCATTTCTAGTTGTTTGGTCAATGTTTTTCCTGTATATACAAGACAATTAGATCAAGATTATCGTATAAAGGAAGCATATGTAGAAAAATGAGAGAGACACGCAGAAGGATAAAGATAAAAAAAATGAACAAGCAACAGAGGGATACTCTAAGTTGGTTAGGAATAGAAAATACAACCAGATTTTTTTCAAAAGAATTATTGTTATCTTTTATTTTTAGTTGTATATGTGGCAATAGCGTTTTTTTCTACTCTAGAACACCTTACACAATAAAATAAGAAATTCGATTTTACTGTTCAATCTTTTGACGAAGAATATTGCCTTCATACGGAATTCAGAAAAGTTTCTCAATACTTTTACACTGAAGGCGTTCACGTCAGCGACTATTGCTCAAAGCTATGCTTTATAGAAAGCATGATTAATCAAAATCTTCCAGAATTGAGTTTCAAATTTTAAAAACCCGATTACACTTATGTAATAATGTTGTATTCCAAAGCACAGATTCTATACCGGCTAGTGAAAATCCTGCTTCTATGTCTATCTTTTCTGAAAATTGAGCCGTCATATAGTACGGTTATGACATTCATTAAGCATTTTTTGCCACCGAAGATGGCCACACTGGTGATGATTATTTAAAAACGAAGCTCTTCAAACGTAAAAAACACCGTAACACTTTGCTAAAACGAAAGATTATTGAGTTTTTTAGGTCGGTTATGATTGTATTATCATCGTTTTTTCGCGAAGCGAAAAAGTTTTGATTTTATTTTATAGTAGGTTCGAAAATAATTGTATTTAAGTCTGTAGGTTTGGGAAAGAATCCCAAAACCTGTACTGCTTGTTTTTTTTTATCTTTTAACTGCTAAAACTAACAAAAATTTCCAATTATTGAGAGAATGTCACATCTCCAACACTTCTCGGTCGGGCCACCAAATGATATAAAAAAAGACCGAAGAAAATGCCGAAAAAAGACGTTGAACGCTAAAAATGTCGAATGTTGAAAACGCCGAAAAAAACTATCGAAAGATAAAACGTCGAAAACGTAAGTATATCAATTGTGGATTATTCAGATACAAATAACTTTCCTAACATATCAAAGATAGAAAAAAAATTATTAACAGGTCTCACTTAAGCAATTTTATAGATCATGGAAAAAGTTCAGTAGTAGTCTAAATACATAATCCCTGTAGCAAGTTATTTATTTTGTTTTTCTACAGCTAGCGATAAAACATCTACTAGTTCCGCAAGGTAAATTTCATTATTTGTCAAACCATCATTTAATACGGGTGTGAGGATTAGTCTACTCTTCTCGTCATCCTCATCCTCATCTTCATCCTCACACCCTCATCCTCAACAATAAATTATCTATCTACGATATATTCTAACTTTTCGATATCTTAATAGGTTCGATATGTTTTTTTTCGATGTTTTCTTTTTCGATATTTTTGTTTTCGATCTTTTTTATGCATATCGGACTACCACTGCGTATAATAATCAAAATATAATAACAACGATAAAAAGAGAACAACCTTGAAAAGAAAATTATTATTTTTATACTCATACTTCAAATATCGTTCTAGGATGATGTTAGACTATGGTATGTGTAGAATAATAATAGCTGTTAATGAGAAATAATCAAAAGCAATGAAATAAAACCCTGATAAAATATATGTAGAATTATATCTGAATAATGACGAAATCATAATGCATTTGAGGCGAGAAATTCGATTTTCGGTTTAGTTATTAGTGATAGCATCTGAGTAGCACATCAGCTAAACTTCTCAACGAAAATAGATATCCTATCTTTCTCTACTCAGAAGAGATTTTTTTCATTTTTACGCTACTAAAAAAATGAATATTTAATTATTAGTGTAACGAACGGAGTCAGCCATTTTTGTTGTCCTTAGTGAATATGATGATACTTCGGCGTGTCCATAATTAAAGAAAAGAAAGAAAAAAATAGATATGTAAAAGAGATAACAATGAATGTTTTTTTATTTTCTCTCCGATCGATTGCTATATATATTAAGATGAATAATATATAACATCACAAATCGTCGTCATTTTCTCAACGTTCGATACACCTATAAGTCAACAAAAATGATCAAAGGTATAACAGTTGCCTTTGCCGCATTCGTTTTAGCCATGCATGCTACAAATGGAGATCCTCCAACTGGTTGTAGCTGTTATATTACTTCTGATAATGGACCTGGAGGTGTTTGCAGTGATGCTGGCTGTAGTGTAGGTAATGATAACGGTAATTGTTACGGTGGTTATGTTATTAATGGTAATAGTAATGGTTATCGTAGCTGTGTTTGTCCTGGTTTTAGTGTTCCTACTATTTCTACTATTACTATTCCTACTTTTACTATTCCTACTGTTACTGTTCCTACTATTACTATTCCTACTATTACTATTCCTACTGTTACTGTTCCTACTA